GGTGCACAAGCCATTACACCTCGTCAAGATGCAGTCTCTTTGTGATGGCTAAGTATGCTGCACTTCCGATGTTCGATGAAGAACACTTAAGCGACTCAGGAAAGATGGTATCTTTAACAGATAAATCATTTCGCATAAACAACAACTATTGTAGTGGTTAAGAAGACGACCGGTTTTCAGCATAGAAAGACATCGGTTGTTGCACAATGCGGGAGTTGCCTGCAGTACTGAAGACCAGAATCAACTTGATTTGGACATGATCAGCTTGCTGAGATCTGGAGCGCGCGTGATGATGATGCACTTCGTTATTTTACACCAACACACTCACTCTACCTCACCTGCATGATATTTCAACCGTAGTGCTGATGATCGAAACCTCAGGTAAACGGATAAATAATAAAACGGAAATGTGAAGATTGCAAAGCTATAAAAGAAGTGGAACCGTGCCATGGTACATGATGCGTGTTATTTTAAACCAAATACAATGAGTATGTACGGTTAGGTAGATAAAATCGTGGACTGATACATCATCATGTTTTGTAAGACAACAAATTCCGAGGAGAGCCACTTTCCAATTCTATCATCAGGTTTGGACAGGTATTGAAAATCGGTCTACATTTGAAGAGTTCAAAGTGCGCATGGATTCGCATCTTTTACAAGGTGAAACATGATAATTCATACTACGTGAATTGACCATCCAATTTGCCGAAAACAGTGGCAACAGTATCATCACTTTCCCCCTCTCCTCGCAGACGTACACACAAGGAACCTAGAAAAGATGATACCGTGGAAATGCTCAGACAACATGCCAGGGAGTCAGCATACTCTGTGAAAACTGATTTGTTCTGGGATAACAAATCAGAACAAGGAGAGCCGGACTCCGATGATTGGTCCGAACTGTCGACCAATTAAGACGGTTGACGGCAATCCAGTTAATCAATTGTTTGATATATGCATTTCCATGTCCTTTCTCTTTCCATAAGTGATCAGGATTTTTCATAATTAATTCCTACACGCTTCCAGTTGTATTCTATTTCACTAAGAGCGGAGTTCCCATATAAACGAGAAACTTTATTGGAAAGCGATCCATCGATAATCTAGTATCGAGATAAGTCTGTCCGGTTACAACACAACATACCTTTAGGAACTCCAGCTTCACATACTCTTCCATAGGATGATTTTTCAAAACACGAAACACAATGGAGAGAATATCTTCGGCCGAATAACCTAAAGTCCACAGATGTCGTAGTATTTTGTGCGCTTCGGTTAGACTGCCTTTGACGCAATGGTCCAAGAGTTGTTTCACTAGCATTGGATGCGGTTCGTCACAAACCTGGGTTTCGAAAGGGGAAATGTGATGAGATTGGCATATAGTTAAACAATAAATCACTGTGATAATGATTCGCAAAAAGCAAATAAACAAATCATACGCAGAAGAATAAACATAAACTAAATTGAAATACGCTCCAATTATACCGAGTATGAAGGATGAAAAACTGGACAGACAATAACAACTGCGTACGACAAACCTTACTAGCGTATAAAGTAGAAAGATCACGAGGGTCAACGAATTTAAGCTCTAAAATAGCTACAGAACGGCTGTAGTTGTAAAACCTTCAGAACATCACCTACTTCAACTCAGGCAACTAGGTAGTGTTGCGAACATAAATAAATGTAGATGGTCGAACGGGGGGAAGACCACCTTGGAACGGATCAGCAAGTAAAAGCTCTGCTTTCCCGCGCGGACTGAAAACAAAGTTATCATCGATACTTACCGTTGAAGAAAACAAGAAGCACGGTTTCTGATGACTGGAAATTCTTGCTACTATTCAACGTTAACATTCTAACAGAATAGTTAGCAACAGGCGGTTCCAGATTTGAGGAGCTTGAGAGCGGAATGCGCTCTTCAATTTGTGCGCTAATTGGGTACAGGGATAATTCAGTTACTCAGAGGAATCAAGTTTTACGGATCTCATCGTTATCATCGTACAGCGAAGTACAGTGAAGCGAACTTCCCGATTGCAATGGATACAAGATTAGTGGTAAAATTTAAGTTGGACAGGGATTTGACCTACTCTGAGGGATCTGAAGGAGTGAAAAAACCAGATCCCCCAAAATGACACTAGCTGGGGTTGAGATCAGTGCCAAGAGAAAGAAAATGGTGGTAAGATAAGGAAATTTAGTCTATTTTTATAAAAAAAATTAAAAAGGAATCGATAGATGTAAATGTCTGATGAATTTCCTGAAAGTTAACTGCTGTGTTCGACTCTCATCAACAACTTCGAACCGTCTCATTTTGTGGTATCCTCAGGCAACCGCCTACGATTACCGCTTTTCCTACCTGAGGATTAATCGTACGATCGTTTATTTAAGAAGAACGAAAATGATTGAAAACCCTCGTGGACCACCAAATCCCAGATCAACAATCTAGCTTCAATTTCGCTGGCGTGTGAATGGATGCTACTGTTTACAACATTCAGCAGAATCAGAACATCGATTAGGTTCATAACAAGGTCCCAAAATGTGATCCACTTAACCAAATCCTCCGGCGAATGTTTTTATTTCCATGTCCCAGGTCACGCATTGTCTGACCTTTTGGTCGTTTTCTAACTAATGCCTGCTACGACAAACATTGCACGCCGAAAAAACTTCCGTAACTTGCGTAACCAATGCATTGATACTTTCGACGCAGATCTAGTTTTCTTGCCTTGTGTCTTTATCTTGATACTGCCCTCAGTTGTTCAACCCTTCCACCTACTCCTTCCTCATTGATCGATCAAACGGGAAGCCACCAAAACGAGCACACGGAAAGTGAATGATTGTGCAAACTGAAACTTCGGCACTTGGGTTATTTTGAGTCATTCACAATCGGGTATGAACGTATAGACGAAGGGAAACATTGCCAATGTGAAAGCCAAATGAATCGACAGTTGGGTTCGATGTAAGGTGGGAGAACAATACAGTGAAGCGAGCAGTTTTATCAACAGTGGAGTAAAAATGAGTGAGAAAAACACCACCACCATGGCAACAGTGATAGACTGCCTATTCGTGACTGACCTTAAACACGTTTTCACTCGTAACCATCTCGAATCCTTGGTAAGTGGATTGTAGGTTGTTCAATGCCTAGACGAACAAGAGTAGTGAACAGAGAATTAGGCAACTGGGAAAATTTTACCAATTGTAAGTATGAGAGATCATGCAAGGCAAAAATGAGTTAGACTATACATAAAAACCGATAGTGAACTAACTACTCCTTGAATCTCAAAGTTTTAACTCCACCGGTGGTCACCTTTTCAGCTAGTCCAACGATACCTATTGGAAAGCAACCTAACACGTACAGAAATGACCTGTTAAGGGCGAGTTTTGCAATCGCTTTCTTTATTTATAAACTGGGAAATTGTCAAAATCCGAAAAAAAAAACGATAAAAACGAGCGTAAAAGGGCGCAACGAACCTGTCGCATATCGCCATCCGCAGTGAACACAATCGCTTCCAGACCCTCGTCTGTGTACGAAACATTCTCGGCACGCGCGACTTCAAGCAAACGTGCCATGATTTGAACAGAGGTAAGCCGAGTGTAACGCAACACAGCACATCGAGATTGGATAGGCTCGATCAGTTTTGATGAATCGTTACAGGCCAGAGCGAACCGGGTCGTGCGCGAGTAGATTTCCATAGTCCGGCGTAATGCTTGCTGGGCACCTTCGGTCATACTGAACAGCCGGATCGGACGATAGATGGATGGTGGTACATGGCGAGATTCAAGCGTTTCATACATAAAACATTTGAGAGAGAGAGAGAGAGTGAAGAGAACAACCACGATAAATAGTAAGTGAATAGGAAAAATGCGACCACCCAAGTGATAACCATTTGTCTACCACCGTCCTGAAGAAGACAAGGCACTATTGCTGTGAGGAAAAAAAAATGTCAAGAACACACGTAGCCGGGGGAAATATGGATGCAGACAACAGCAGTAACATTGTGAACGGAGCATTCTTAATATGTTTTGTATACTGATTAGGGAGGGGGTGACGGGTGTTGACAATAAAGTTTTACAGTTCTAAAGTTGTTGGTTTCAATTTTCAGCCTAGTCCGTTGGATTTTAAAGCATTTTGTGACATTGACTATTTCTCGAACTCTGGCCGGGCAGTCGAGAATGAACGACCAAAACCAATGCAGTCATCCAGTTCTACAGACTCGTACGCAAGGTCATGGACCGAATACGGCTACGGGTTAAATATGTACTACTCAGTGTGGTTATTTTCAGATTCTGAGTTAGTGCGTTCTAGCAAACGGTTCATAAAAACAGGTTAGGAGAAGCTTCTAGCATCAAAAAGAGACTCCACCTCTGTGACTCAACGAGCTAAATAGAATGGCCCTTGTCAACCCATGGCTGGCTGATCCGTTTTGGACGTACTCCACGGCATAACATTTTGTTACTCATTTCGTTAAGTGAATCAGGCTTGACCAATAATACGAGGGTATTAGTATTTCAAACTAATTAGTCAGTTTTCAGCTTCCTACACGAGTCACATTCATTCAAAAACAAAGTAGTCATATTTAAGACTGATCAAACGATTCTCGCTCATACTTGGAGTGCCAGATGAGTGAGTAACACAATGGATTCCCTTAGTTTACAAAATACAATTGAGTGTTCTGTAAGCATGGCCGTACTTCACCTGAGATCAATTAGCCTAGAGGAATAAAACAAAGTCTCTCTCTATAGCGAAACAGGTGCATTCTTTCAATCTTATTTCTCTAGGCACCGTATGCCCTGAAGTGGGAATGAGATAATGATGCAGCGGAATTCTGTGAGAATTTAGCTGATTTTTAAGAAACCCTCAAACGTATGTCTGCAGGACCCCAACATCGTTTTCGAGATGAACATAAAAAAACAGAATGTTTGCGACACCAATTGATTCAGGAGACATCTTGGGGTGCTGGTGGCGCAGTGGTTTAGTCGCTGTCACCGGCGTGCTTTGAATCCTATGGTCCAAGCCCCATCAACGGCAGCTTTGCTGTCGTCCGGTTCAATATCACGCCTAACCTATTTGGGCCTTATGTGATTCGCCACTCAAAGTCCCGGGGCTTAGGTTGTCGGTTTCCATCACTTAACGGCAGGTCTTCGTGACAATGGAGTTCACCTAGTCTGCTGTTCATCATACAAAGTGTAATAATAAAAAATGGCACCGTATCTGTAAAGATAAGTATCAGATAAATAAAAAACCAATGAAAGGTTTTATTAAACCGGGTTCCATAATACTGACTAGAATTCAAGCTAAGGACGAAGTTCGACTGTGTTCAATGTGTCAGAAAGTTATTTTTACAGGTAGAGAATACCGTGGTGCGGAAACGGCATCCGTAAACAATCGGAACACTAGTATTCTCAACAATGTTCCTATCCAACTTGGACAGGAAACAAAACATAGTCACTGGTAGTTAAAGACGATCGATGACTGGTGCTCAACAACTATTCCAATAACCAGACAGAGGGATCAAATCAGGAAGGAGATAGAAACCAACGCGTTACGTCAAGGCATACTCGTAAAACGGCGACGTACAAAAATTATGCAAACCAGACTACGACGTGATGAAAGCTGCCTTGACATCGTCTCTCTGTCCTAACGGGCACTTAAAATTTGGTTGGACACCGTACGAAAAGACTCAGAACACTGTGCTTTCAGATCTATGTATGATCACGCTTTGCGAAGAATTAGCTGCCGATTGCGGAGTGTGTGCAACTGCAAAACGAGATTAACATGAAGCCAGCTTAGCTCTTAGTAGTCCGCCATCGTGAACTAGAGTAAGCGAAATGATCTCAGATGCGCAATGTAGATTTTTGTAGCCAAGATACACGTTAAGGGCAAGAGCAGAGGGATGACTAGATAAAACAGTAACGGANGCTGAAGAGTAGCAACAGCCACAATTGGCACATAGAACTACCTTTCATCAACACGGTACCACTCAATAACCGAATAGCTCGTTTTGAAGGATAGATTATTAAAAAAACCAAAACAGGATTTGAACACACATTGCAGTGAAACCTGCATGACTGACCTGTCAGCTTCATCCAGAATGATAATTTTCTGCCTTCCTTCGGGCAAAGTAACTTTCTTTTGAGCGAACATTTTAATTTTATTTCGTACCACATCAATACCCCGATCATTAGAAGCATTAAGCTCTAGCACTGCTTCCTTGTATGAGTCGCCGATGAGAGCATGGGCCAAACAAAGAATGCTGGTTGTTTTTCCACAGCCAGGTNTATGCTTCGATGATTAAATTCCCTTACGGCGATGATAATGTTGGGGACGTTGCCAGTGTTTGAAAAAGCGGTCAAACGGGCAATGGTTGTTTCGTTGCCCACAATATCCGTGAGTTTTACCGGCCGATACTTCTCCACCCATGGAACATCATTAGGCTGTCTTGTATTCTTTTCCGTAGACTGCATAGTCAACAATATATGATTTATGAACCGTACAGACCTGAAATAAACCAGAGTTAGAATTAATATTACCAAAAAGGATAACATCATTATCATACAGCAAAAACTACACTGATTGCTGCAAAACACAGTATTGTTATTATTTCAACCAATAGCAGAGAACTGGCAAATGTGCCACAACATATAAAAATAAAAATCTGTAGAATGTGTTCATAGGTGGTGTGAGCAAGTTACTTCCTGGTTTCTCTGACCGAGGAAGGAGGGTAACCTCGGGATCCCCACCCGAAGCCTGTGAATAGAAAACCAGACCTGAAAGACAACAGAACGGAGCACAGAATCCGAAGTAAGTACGGATGCATCAGGTGGGCGGGAAGTGGGACTAAGTTGAGGGAAGAAGGAACGAGAAACTTTATGGTCAGCACAGTGTACACGGTCTAAATATGTAGACACAAAACTCCAAGAAATGATACCAAGAACACCACTGCTATCCTTCAGTGTCTCCGACAATCTAGTTACGGATTTTTTGGACACCGTCCTGTGAGACGAGAGGTACATACTCCACGTATTTCTGTGCACATTTTTGTTTTATCTCTATGTCTGCTAGTCTCCAGCTAATTTTCTCTAGCCCGGAAAACCAATTGCAAGCAATGCGTGCTGCGGTAGACGACCGCTTTGAATTGATAGTTTCCTAACCAGTGAGGAATACTCACTGAAATTTGGTTTGATAAAGACTTTTTCACCTAAAGATTCCAAAATGCCTAGATTGATTAACCGTTCAACCAATTCTACGTATTAGGGGCGGTGGAGAATTTAATTTAATAATATGGACTTCGTCGTGTACATCGCGAATGAAGTGCAGCCTATCTTCGCGGGCCTAAAGAAACCCATCTCGGTTGAAACAGCCGTACAATGCTTCCTAGCTTCTTAGTTCACGCCTCATTTGCTTTGCACGCGACGAAATCCATCATTTAATGCTGCCTGTATCAAACTTCGTAAGCATCAACCCCAAAACCACAAGCCGAGGAATGTCTTCTGATCGCAAATTAAAGGTCTTACAATCACAAACTAGAACTGATCGTGCCGTAGCACGGTTTGCGTGACCTTTCAGCTACAGTGAAATGTTGTTTTGATGATAGAGTTTCAGTTCGGCGTACATTGCTCGAGTCATAAAAATGCATACGGTTTCCTTATGAGCGGCGATATATATATATATATATGACAGTTTTGTAAACAACGGTGTTGATTTTTTTTTGTAAATATATATATTTATTTATTTGATAATAAGCGGTATGTGAATGACTGAACAAAACTTCCCTGGAAGCACACGACCGGTTTCGCGGTTCTCGCCGCTCGTCAGGCATGCGCATCCGGTAATCTTTTGTTAGTTCATTCATATACTTGTACCGAGGAAGTGTATTTTCGTCGAAATAACCTTGTTTGCAACACCGGGTGACCGTTGGATATATATTTTTTATTTTATATATACATATGTCGTGTTTGTTATTCGTTCTGTTTCTGTACGCTGTTAACCACGTCGTTCCTTTTGTT